AAATCTCAGCAAGATGGGGGCCTTTCAACAGAAAGGAGGAAACCATGAAAATGAACAAAATCTGGCTACCAGTATTAAAAAACTCTAAAATTAGAACAGCACAACAACAGAGAGGAAACAAACAAAGACATCTAATCACCTCTCAACAAAAGATTGCTCCAGGCACTGCCAGGCCATCAAATGCTAATCAAGGTGGTCAGTTGAAACATTCACACCTAGCTCCAGCAGACAAGAGTCCTTTGTCCCACCCTGGTCATTCCACAGATATATAAACTCTTTTTCCTAGTTCCAACAGACCTCACTACCTCTGAGGATGCTTGCCATAGATGCAGGCGAAACATCAGGAGAGAATGCCTCTAGACCATGGCCATATAGCCTGAAAAAACCTACAACAACCCAGTGATTCCGGCCATGAAAGCCTTCGACAATACATTGAGCAAGAAATACTGTTTACTCACAAAAATAAAGAAATTACATATATTATAAACCAAGACTTTCTCATTACATTATTTCCCAGATCACCAGACTGGGCCACAGCAATGCGTGGCAGGGGACGGCTAGCCTTCAATAAAAGGATAGTTTTTTTCCTATTCAACGTGTGGTGTTGAAAGTCTGTTCTGGAGTGCAACATCCCCTCTGAAACCCCCTCGTGACCCCCAGGTTCAGAAACGCTGTTTTAACGCAAGGTTTTTTTTATTTGCTGTATATACACAATCCAAGCTATTAAAAATTATACAGTATTTACAAACAATTAAATAATTACCCAGAACTTCCTTCACCATGAGAGGAACACGAGAGGTCGACAGCCTCTCATGTACCGACTTGGAAAACATTTTCCTTGTAAAGGTTAGAACAAAAGTTAAGATTCTTCTTTCTTCTCGAAGTTCTGTTCTCCCTGCAGAGAAATTCTGAAAACAATGTTTACTTTGGGAGGAAAAAAAAAAAACAGGAACAAAACTATCAGAACTAAACCCTGCCTTTCTCTGTGTCATCACAGATTTTCGTCGCCGAGAGTTAAGCTTGATGGGAAATCCAGATTGGTTGAGATCGAGGAAAAGGAGTTTCGGGCTATTGCTTTAGTCTTAAGACACTGAAAAAAATGGAAAATAAATTCTTAAAGGAGGATGCGTTGCGGAAATGCCTGCAATGAAAAGGAATAAATAATGGAAGCAGCCAAAAGGCAACAGCTATTCAAGCTAGCCACATTCAAACAGACAAAAACGGAAGGATGAAGGAAACTGGCTCTTGCGATGGGAAAGGGAAGCTTTGCAATTCAAGAAAGATGGCTACCTGGCTTCAGAGTGATATAAAAGGCATTAACTTTTCGACTCGAGATTTGGTTCCTCCAAAACGATGGAACATGCATTCATGAAAAAGTGGAAATAACCGAAGGCCAGACTGTGATGTATAGAATGGCAGAGAAGGAAGGACAAAAGGAAGGGAAGGAATGGGGAAAGAGACGAGGGAAAGCCAAAACGGTGGAAGGGAAGGATGGAAGGAGAAATCTGGAGAGGGAAGGAGGGAGGAAAGAGGGAAGGAAGGAAGAAAGGGTGGAAGGGAAGGATGAAAGGAGAAAGAGGGAGGTGGAAAGGAAGGATGGAAGGAAAGGAAGGATGAAAGGAAAAAGAAAAGGAGGGATGAAGAGAAGGATGGATGGAAGGGAGGGAAGAATAAAGGAGCTAGAGAAGGAAAGAAAGACAAAAGGAAAGGAAAGGAAGGAGAAAGAGAGGGAGGAAAGAGCAAATGATGAAAGGGTGGAAAGGAAGGATGGAAGGAGAAATCTGGAGAGGGAAGGAGGGAGGAAAGAGAGAAGGAAGGATGAATTGGTGGAAGGGAAGGATGGAAGGAGAAAGAAAAGGAGGGATATGAAGAGAAGGCTGGATGGAAGGAACGAGAGAAGGAAAGAAAGGCAAAAGGAAAGGAAGGAGAAAGAGAGGGAGGAAAGAGCAAAGGATGAAAGGGTGGAAAGGAAGGATGGAAGGAGAAATCTGGAGAAGGAAGGAGGGAGGGAAGAGGGAGGGAAGGAAGGATGAAAAGGTGGAAGGATGGAAGGAGAAAGAGGGAGGTGGAAGGGAAGGAATGGGGAATGGGGAAAGAGAGGAGGCAAAGACAAAACGGTGGAAGGGAAGGATGGAAGGAGAAATCCAGAGAGGGAAGGAGAGAGGAAAAAGGGGAGGAAGGATGAAAGGGTTGAAGGGAAGGATGAAAGGAAAAAGGAGGGATGAAGAGAAGGATGGATGGAAGGAAGGGAGGGAAGAATATGTCAGGATTAATTTAGTTATGTGTTTTTCAATGTGCTTCTATGTATTGCCAAGATGGATGCCACTGTGATTTGAAAATGCCATGCAGAAATGTTTATACTTTGAGGCTGTGATTAAGTGAACTTGAAAAAGCAAGATAAGGTTTATTCTTGCTGAGAACAGAAGGGAGTTGCCAGTCTCAGCAAGAGAAGATAAGCACATGTGAAGAGGCTTTCGGTTTTGACTAGTTCTTTGTTGTTTTTCCTGAATTGTAGCTCGCTGTAGAAAGACGTGTCTGTTGTATGTACTTAATAAACTTAGTTTCTTTTGTAACTCAAAGCCTGCAGAGTCCTTATTTTGCAACTCAGTGTCTGCTTGATCGAGCATTCCTTCCGCTGGGTATCGTCAATCTGTCAGAATAAAGGAACGAGAGAAGGAAAGAAAGACAAAAGCAAAGGAAAGGAAGGAGAAAGAGAGGGAGGAAAGAGCAAAGGATGAAAGGGTGGAAAGGAAGGATGGAAGGAGAAATCTGTAGAGGGAAGGAGGGAGGAAAGAGGGAGGGAAGGAAGGACGAAACGGTGGAAGGGAAGGATCGAAGGAGAAAGAGGGAGGTGAAAGGGAAGGGAAGGATGGAAGGAAAAAGAGAAGGAAGGGATGAAGAGAAGGATAGATGGAAGGGAGGGAGGGAAGAATAAAGGAATGAGAGAAGGAAAAAAAGATAAAAGGGAAGGGAAGAAGGAGAAAGAAAGAGAGGTAGGAAAGAGCAAAGGATGAAAGGGTGGAAAGGAAGGATGAAAGGCGAAAGAAGGAGAGAGGGAAAGGGGAAGGAAAGAGGTTAAAGGGAAGGGTGGAAAGAAGGAAGGGAAGGAGGAAGGAAAAAAGAAGGAAGGAAAAAAGAAGGAAGAGAAAAGGAAAGGCAAAAGGAAAGGAAGGAAGGAAAAAGGGAGAGAGGGAGAAAAGAACAAAGGATGAAAGGGTGGAAAGGAAAAATCAAAGGAGAAAGAGGAAGGGAAGGAGGAGGGAGAGACAGGAGGAAAGGCAAGGGGGGGGGGGGAAGGGTGGAAGCAAGGAAGGAAGGAGGGAGCCAAAACGTGACCAGAAAGAAGTTGAGTCCAAGTCTACGGCAATGCTTGGATCACAGAACGAGGTTCTCATATCTCTGCCATCTCACAATCCAATGCCGGCCTACCAATGTTTGGTTTGAAACCATCGGGTTTATGGACTAGTTTGCAGTTACATCTAACATTCATCTCATCCCAGTCTTCCAGAAAAGACGAAAATATGGATTTTATTCTTTTATTCTCCATGTTTTCTTCTATTCTGGAAGACGAGGATGAGATACAAGTTGGATGTAACTGTAAACTGGCCCATAAACCCGATAGTTTCAAACCAAAAGTTGGTAGGCTGGCATATGGATGCATTACGCTCTGGATACCACCAAAGACCACATAATGTTTCCATCCAAACAAAGCAAACTTGACACAACATACAACAGACTCCCCAATCTTTGCCTTTTCCTACTTTCGGGAGGGTTATTTGTGTTTAATACATTGCAAAACATCAAGAGAGAGGACCAACAAGCTCATGAGCACATCTGGTTGAAATAACAACAACCTTTTCCACGATCTCATCGAAAGAAAGAGCCACCTCTTCTTTTGAAGGAGGTTCTAGTCATGAGAAATGCTGCCGCCTATGCCTTTTGCCAGTTTTGGCTCAAAAAGTGACCAGAAAGGAGTCCAAGTCTACGGCAATGCTTGGATCACAGCACAAGGTTCTCATATCTCTGCGATCTCACAATGCAATGCTGGCCTACCAACGTTTGGTTTGAAACCATCGGGTTTACATCCAACATTCATCTCATTCCAGTCTTCTTCCAGAAAAGAAGAAAATATGGATTTTATTCTTTTATTCTCCATGTTTTCTTCTTTTCTGGAAGACGGGGATGAGATGCAAGTTGGATATAACTGTAAACTGGCCCATAAACCCGATAGTTTCAAACCAAACGTTGGTAGGCCGGCATATGGACGCATTACGTTCTGGATGCCACCCAAGACCACACAACGCTTCCATCCAACAAGTCAAACTTGACACAACATACCACAGACTCCCCAATCTTTACCTTTTCCTACTTTCGGGAGGACTCTTCATGTTTAATACATTGCAAAACAAGCCTTTTCCACGAAGAGAGAGGACCAACAAGCTCGAGAGCACGTCTGGTTGAAATAACAACCTTTCCCTTGATCCCATCGAAAGAAAGAGCCACCTCTTCTTTTGAAGGAGGTTATAGTCATGAGAAGTGCTGAAACCTATGCCTTTTGCTAGTTTTGGTTCAAAAAGTGACCAGAAAGAAGTTGAGTCCAAGTCTATGGCAATGCTTGGATCACAGCACGAGGTTCTCATATCTCTGCGATCTCATAATCCAATGCCGGCCTACCAACGTTTGGTTTGAAACAATCGTGTTTATGGACCAGTTTGCAGTTACATTCAACATTCATCTCATCCAAGCCCTCTAGAAAGGATCACAGCACGAGGTTCTCGTATCTCTGCGATCTCACAATCCAATGCCGGTCTACCAACGTTTGGTTTGAAACCATTGGGTATATGGACCAATTTGCAGTTGCATCCAACTTGCATTTCATCCCAGTCTTCCAGAAAAGATGAAAATATGGATGCATTACGCTCTGGATATCACCAAAAACCACATAATGTTTCCATCCAAACAAATCAAACTTGACACAACATACCACAGACTCCCCAAACTTTACCTTTTCCTACTTTCAGGAGGGTTATTTGTGTTTAATACATTGCAAAACAAGCCATTTCCATGAAGAGAGAGAAATCTACGGCAATGCTTGGATCACGGCACAAGGTTCTCATATCTCTGCGATCTTACAATGCAATGTTTGGTTTGAAACCATCGGGTTTATGGACCAGTTTGCAGTTACATCCAACTTGCATCTCATCCCAGTCTTTCAGAAAAGAAGAAAATATGGATGCGTTACGCTCTGGATGCCACCCAAGACCACACAACGCTTCCATCCAACAAATCAATTTTGACACAACATACCACAGACTCCCCAATCTTTCCCTTTTCGTACTTTCGGGAGGATTCTTCATGTTTAATACATTGCAAAACAAGCCATTTCCATGGAGAGAGAGGACCAACAAGCTCGTGAAATAACAAAAACCTTTCCCTTGATCCCATTGAAAAAAAGAGCCCCCTCTTCTTTTGAAGGAGGTTCCAGTCATGAAAAGTGCTGCTGCCTATGCCTTTTGCTAGTTTCGGCTCAAAAAAAGCGGCCAGAAAGAAGTCAAGCCCAAGCTTATGGCGGACGCCAAACTCTTTCACTTGGGAAGGGAACTCACGGAGCTCCTTCCTTTCCCTTCCAACTTTTGCTTAGGAAAGAAACAAGAAAAAATAATAATAATCTAACCATAAAACTAGAGAACTAAAGTAACAGAAATCTGTGTAGAAGAAGCCACCCGCACCCTGTTTATTCCCGTCAATGCTTCCTTGCTGTTGAGATGGCATCCCAAGCCAGGAAGAAGGGAAGGAAGACCTTTTGGAGGGCTGTATTGTGGACTATGAATGTCTGCCCAGTCGAGATCAAGATACAAAAAGGATTGTTGCCCCCATCTTGCTGCGACAGGATCAGGGCCGTGGTTTCCTCCTCCGACATATAAACCAAGGCATCTCAATCACATCCCCCTTCCTGTCCTGGTAATCTGCGCCCCCAGCAGTCTTCGCATCCACATTGGCACTTGATGGTGCAAAAGTTTTAAAATGCCCAGTCTCGTTCGTCCTGTCCCTTCCACTGAATGCTGCATTTCTTCTTCTTTTTTATTATTATGGAAAAGGGAAGTAAGATTCCCTTAAATGATTTAACTCATCAGGCATAGGGCAAGGCTCGCTCCATGGGGGCTGCAGGGCTATCAATGGGAAGAGGGCGAGGGTAGTTCTAGTTTTTGGAGCCGGCGCCGGCGCAGCTCCGCTGTGTCTGGCTCCTCCGGCAGCAAAGAGTTCTCTCCGTCCGGTTTGTGGTCGGAGGAGGGCTCTGTGTAACCTTCGGCACCACCCTCCAAGAGGGGACCTGAAAGGACAAAAGGCAACATCTGTAATAATAATAATAATAATACTTTATTTATTTATTTATTTATTTATTTATTTACTTTGCTTATATACCGCTGTCTCTCAAGCCCGAAGGCGACTCACAGCGGTTCACAAACAGTAAAAACAGTAGAAACAGCAGTGGTTCCATACAACATATAACAATTGACTTAACACATTATCCATAAATTACCAATAAGCAATTACAATGCACAATTATTACAAAAAACAACCGTACCCAATCTTCTCATCATCCAAGCGTAGTCCAGGTTCGTCGTCCATTGTTCCATTCCTATGTTCCATTACCAGATTGCACTAAATTACTCAAACGCCTGCACAAACATCCAGGTCTTCACCTTTTTGCGGAATACCATTAGAGATGGTGCCAGTCTAATGTCCGTAGGAAGGGCGTTCCACAGCCGAGGAGCCACCACCGAGAAGGCCCTATCTCTCGTCCCCGCCAGCCGAGCTTGAGAAGCAGGCAGGATCGAGAGCAGGGTCTCCCCGGAAGATCTCAAAGTCCTGGTGGGTTCATAGGCAGAGATGCGGTCAGATAGGTAGCTTGGGCCGGAACTGTTTAGGGCTTTAAAGGCCAACGCCAGCACTTTGAATTCAGCCCGGTAGCAGATCGGTAGCCAGTGGAGTTGGCGCAACAGGGGGGTTGTATGCTCCCTGCGCTCCGCTCCTGTTAAAATCATGGCTGCCGAGCGTTGGACTAGTTGGAGCTTCCGAGCCGTCTTCAAAGGCAACCCCACGTAGAGAGCGTTGCAGTAGTCTAAACGGGATGTAACCAGAGCGTGGACTACCGTGGCCAAGTCAGACTTCCCAAGGTACGGGCGCAGCTGGCGCACAAGCTTTAGCTGTGCAAATGCTCCCCTGGTCACCGCCGAAACCTGGGGTCCAGGCTCAGCGATGAGTCCAGGGTCACACCCAAGCTGCGAACCTGCGTCTTCAGGGGGAGTGCGGCCCCATCCAACACAGGCTGTAACCCTATGCCCTGTTCGGCCTTGCGACTGACCAGGAGTACCTCTGTCTTGTCTGGATTCAATTTCAATTTGTTCGCCCTCATCCAGACCGTCACAGCGGCCAAGCACCGGTTCAGGACCTCGACAGCCTCCTTAGTAGCAGGTGGGAAGGAGTGACAGAGTTGGACATCATCCGCGTACAGATGACACCGTACCCCTATATCCCGCCACCATCTCCCCAAGGGACTCGGAGTGGCTTACATGAGGCCAAGCCCAACAACACATCAATAAAAAGAAGCAATAAGCAAATACACAATACAATTAATATACCGTATATACTCGAGTATAAGCCGACCCTAATATAAGCCGAGGCACCTAATTTTAGCACAAAAAACTAGGAAAACATATTGACTTGAGTATAAGCCGGGGATGGGAAATGCAGCATCTACTGGAAAATTTCAAAATAAAAATAGATACCAATAAAATTACATTAACTGAGGCATCAATAGATTAAATATTTACATAAAACTGTAATTTAAGATAAGACTGCCCAACTCTGATTAAACCATTGTTCTAACCTTCGTCAATGTAAATGTGCATACATATCCTTCCAATAATAATAAAGAGAGTAAAATAATAAATGTAATAATAATAATAATAATAGAATAATAATATTTTTTTTTGTCGTGTCAAGAGTGACTGCAAGTTGCTCCTAGTGTGAGAGAATTGGCCGTCTGCAAGGACGTTGCCCAGGGGACGCCATGGATGATTTGATGTTTTTATCATCCTTGTGGGAGGCTTCTCTCATGTCCCCGCATGAGGAGCTAGAGCTGATAGAGGGAGCTCATCCGCCTCTCCCCGGATTCGAACCTGCGACCTGTCGGTCTTCAGTCCTGCCGGCACAGGAGTTTAACCCACTGCGCCACCGGGGGCCCCAATAATAATAGTAATAGTAATAATAATAATGGAAATGTAATAATAGCAGTAATAATATTGTAAAATAATACATGTAATAACAATAATAAATAGAGTAAAATAATAAATGTAATAATAATAATAGAGGAAAATTATAAACGTAATAAAAATAATAAGAGGAAAATAATAAATAACCTTGACTCGAGTATAAGCCGAGGGGGACTTTTTCAGCCTAAAAAAAAGGGCTGAAAAACTAGCCTTATACTCCAGTATATACAGTAACTCACATATAGACAAAACACATAGAGATTTAAAAACCTATGGCCGGGCCAAATGTAGTAGATTAAAACTTTAAAAATAAACGCTGGACATGAACAGAGGTAGGATGTATCTAGTAAGAGGGTTCTAAACGAAAAGCGGGGGAGCAACCCAACGAGTATTTAAAGTACTTCTCATGATATTTTGCAGGGAATTGTGTCCTTTATTCAGGAAAGGCACACTGGAACAGCCACGTTTTCAGGCTCCTCCTAAAGGCTGTCAATGTGGTGGCTTGTCTGATATCCTTGGGGAGTGAGTTCCAGAGTCGGGGGGGCCACCATAGAGAAGGCCCTCTCCCTTGTCCCCACCAATCGCGCCTGCGAAGGAGGTGGGAGCAAGAGCAGGGCCTCTCCAGATGATCGAAGAGATCGCGTGGGTTCGTACACAGAAACGCGGTCACGCAGGTAGACGGGTCCCAAACCGTTCAGTGCTTTGTAGGTAAGAACCTGGACCTTGTAAGAAGTGGGAGGGAAAAATAATACTTGAACCTGTTTGTTTTTTTAGCAACAAGTTTCTAGTCCACATGGCCCAAAGCTGTTTGAAGTTCTTTCAAGGAACTGCGCTTTGTTGTTGGTTTTTTTCATATTACCGCATATACTCAGGTAGAAGCTGACCCGAATATAAGCTGAGACACCTATGAGGACTGAATGAAAAGTAATGCCTTCACCTTTGTTGCTGACTAAACCTGCCTCTGATTTATAGCCCTGAATTCTCCACGCAGGAGGTAGGGCGTCTCCCAATTAGCTCAGCGTTTTTAGCAGCTATTCTGACTGAACGGCGTCTGTGCTCTGTTTTCGACTCTCTAGAAATGTGGGCACTTTCAAACCCTCACTGCCTGATTCTTCTTCTCCCTCCAATTGCTGAGCACTTCCCTGCTCCCCTTCCACTTCCGAAGATGAGGAATCCCCAACATGGGACACTAATAATACTAATAATATAATTATTATATTATAATAATTATAATTAGTATTATATTATATAATAATTCATAGAATCATAGAGTTGGATGAGACCTCATGGGCCATCCAGTCCAACCCCATTCTGCCAAGAAGCAGGAATATTGCATTCAAAGCACCCCTGACAGATGGCCATCCAGCCTCTGTTTAAAAGCTTCCAAAGAAGGAGCCTCCATCACACTCCGGGGCATGGAGTTCCACTGCTGAACGGCTCTAACAGTCAATTATAATTAGTATAATTATTAGAAGTGGGTTAAACTGCTGAGCTGCTGAACTTGCTGATTGAAAGGTTGCAGGTTTGAATCCGAGAGGCGTGAGCTCAGGCTGTTAGCCCCAGCTTCTGCCAACTTAGCAGTTCAAAAACATGTAAATGTGAGTAGATCCATAGGTACCACTCCGGCAGGAAGGTAACAGCCCTCAATGCAGTCATGCTGGCCACATGACCTTGGAGGTGTCTACAGACAATGCCAGCTCGTTGGCATTGGAGATGAGCACCAACCCCCAGAGTCGAACACTACTGGACTTAATGTCAGGGGAAAACCTTTACCCTACCTATTATTATTATATACTAATAATATAGTAATAACAAAACTATCATATCCCGTCTCAGCCTTCTTTTCTCCAAACTAAATATCCCCAGCTCCCTAAGCTGTTCTGCGCAGAGCTTGGTGCAGTGGCGCGGCTGGCTGGGACTGTGGCGCAGCTGGTTGGGAGTTAGCTGCATTAAGATCACTATTATTTATTTCATTTATTTACAGCTTTTATATTCCGCCCTTCTCACCCCGCAGGGGACTCAGGGCGAATTACAGTGTACACATATATGGCAAACATTCAATGCCAATTTTTAACATACAAACATATACAGACATACACAGAGGCTATTTAACTTTTTCTGGTCGCCAGGGGAGCTATTGCTTTCATCGTCCATCTGTGACGCTGATGATGTACTTCCGCATTCCCCGCATGCTTCCCCGCTGGAATGCTTTGCTGGAGTCTTCTTTATGGCCTCATAAATTAGTAATTTAGCCTCCCCACACTTTAAGGTGGTACCTAATTTTACTACTTGACAGATGCAACTGTCTTTCAAGTTGCAAAGGTCGACAACAGGCTACACACAATTGGTTGGAAACCCATTCCAACCCGGGCTGGCTTCGAACTCATGACCTTTTGGTCAGAGTGATCTTTAATGCAGCTGACACTCAGCCAGCTGCGCCAAAAGGTCATGAGTTCGAAGCCAGCCCGGGTCAGAGGGAGCATCCGACCAAAATTGTGTAGCTTGTTGTCGACCCTTGCAGCCCGAAAGACAGTTACAACTGTCAAGTAGGAAATTTAGGTACCACTTATGTGGGGAGGCTAATTTAACTAATTTACGAGGCCATAAAAATCTCCAGGAAGTATGCAAAGAATGAGGAAGTACTTCATCAGTGTCACAAATGGACGGTGAAGCAACAGCTCCCCTGGTGGCCAGAAGCTGGAATATTAAATAGCCTCTGAGTGTTTATATATGTGGTGTCTCTGGCATTGAATGTTTGCCATGTATATGTACATTGTAATCCGCCCTGTGTCCCCTGCAGGTGAGAAGGGCGGAATATAAATACTGTATTTATTGTAAATACTGTATTTATTAAATATTGGTTTCCAAAGTGATCAACTTTGGTGACCCTTCTATCAACACAATCCAGCTTTTCAATATCCTTTTTGAATTGTAATGCTCAGAACTTAGGAATTACAGAAGGGTGAGATAAATCACGTATAATATCTACAGAATGACCATGGTTCAGAATATGAAAAAGGAAAGGAGTTTGTGACGGACAAGAGTTTATGAAAAGGGCGAGGCCCAAACAGGAGGCCCAAACAGGACCTGTTACCAAACGAACAGATTCCACCTACCTGCTTGGCTTGAGGCCTCTGTCTCTGCTGGCAATGAAGAGGCGCTCTCTGCAGACTGGAAGACGGTGGTGGGCTCAGCGGAGTCGGGCTCAGGGCTGGGGGTCTTTGGAGGGGACGTCGAGGGGGGTGGAGCGCTTGGGGGCTGTGCGGGTCGAGGTGTCCTATAAGGGGGGAAAAAGGGTGCAGAGTAACGTGTCAAGCCTTGAGAGATCCACGTTTCTTGACCCTTGAGAGACAGCCATTGTTCTGGTACAGCCGCACCAGGAGCTCCAGCTTATCTTGCTATTTGTTGATTACTGCATGTATTTTAAAGTTCTTTGCCTTTGTAGTTAGATGGCTTTCCTTACTTTGCAGTTATTGGATCTATGACCTGTCAATTATCATTAGGTTCCCTGGTCCTGCCCCCTTTTTGGGTTTTGGAGGGAATAGGAGCCATTTTGGGTCAGTCCACACAGAGAAGTCTTTCATACAGGACATAAAACCAGGAGCTCCTGTAGAAAGCTTTGTCTTTTACAGCTTGGCCGGGGAGATATACAGCCCCATAGCTTGCCCAGAGAGGTACAGTCTCAGCACAGCTCTTTTGCAGAGGATTTTACAGCCTTACAGCTCCTTTGCTGAGGGAATCCAGTCCCACAGCGCTTCAGCCAGCCATCACTGAAACCTGAACACCTTCTTTTCCCCTGGAAGTCTACAAAAGACTCTGTTTGGTAAGGGCCACTTGCAGCAGCCAAAAGCACTTGGTACCGGGTGCAGGGGCTCCACGCCAACAGAGGCAAAGACAGACTGCCCAGATAAGAGGTTAAGAATTTCCCCATTAGTCAAAATACAGTTATGAAGATAGTGCCTGTCCCCTGTGGACAAGATTGAGAGAGCCAATAGACTATTAAGAAAGAAGTACCTGTTTGATTTCAATAACAAAGAACTTTGTTGAACCTTTAAGCCAGTGTTTCTCAACCTGGGGGTCGGGACCCCTGAGGGGGTCGCAAAGGGGTGTCAGAAGGGTCGCCAAAGACCATCAGGAAACACAGTATTTTCTGATGGTCATGGGGATTCCATATAGGAAGTTTGAGCCAATTTTATCGTTGGTGGAGTTCAGAATGTTCTTTGATTGTAATGAACTATAAATCCCAGCAACTACAACTCCCAAAAATCAAAGTCTATTTTTCCCATGCTCCACCAGTGTTCACATATTGAGTATTTGTGCCAAGTTTGGTCCAGATCCACCACTGCGTGAGGCCACAGTGCTCTCTGGATACAGGTGAACAACAACTCCCAAACTCAAGGTCAATACCCACGAAACCCTTCCAGGGTTTTCCGTTGGTCATGGGAGTTCTGTGTGGCAAATTAGGTTCAAATCCATCGCTGGTGGAGTTCAGAATGCTCTTTGATTATAGGTGAACTATAAATCCCAGCAACTACAACTCCCAAATGACAAAATCAATCCTCCCCCAACCCCACTAGCATTTACATGTGGGTGCATTGGGTATTTGTGCCCAGTTTGGTCCAGTGAATGAAAATACATCTTGCATATCTGATATTTACATTATGATTTATAACAGTAGTAAAATGACTGTTATGGAGCACACCAAACAGTGTTGTGGGTCGGGTCCCACAAATGATGCTGGATTCAGGGGTCTGGCAATGAGTTCAGACCACTCAGCTTTAGCATCTAAAGCTCTTGGTTACAAGGAATCCAAAGGCCTTTAATCCGAGGCAGCCCCAGCGTCCCGTTGGGCACACAGAATTTATGTCCTGTCTGCAGTCTTTTGTACAGGCCCAGCGTGCGACAGCACGGCCATCCACCCTCCCTTTAAAAGGAAGAGAGTTTACCTCCTTCTGGGATAGTCTTTGTTACAATCCAAGAAAACCCAGATGGTGGGAGTTGTAGTTCACCCCACACCCAAAGAGCCGTATGACTCCAATCAATGACTGATCGGGCCCAAGCCTGGCACATACCCACCATGACCGGGCTGTAGCGCAGCTAGTTAGTAGTGTGTAAGTGTAACATGCACAGATATCCATGACAACGAACACAGAAAACTGTAAATTGCCAATCAATTTCTATATTACAAGAAATTCTACATCAAACATAATGTGGGAACAGTAACTAGACTGATATTTTATATATATATATATATATATATATATAAATGCTCTGTGTGTAATGAGTATCTTAAAAACAAAAGAACCAAGGAACAAAATCACACCAAATTTGGCAACAAAACGTCTCACAACACAAGGAGTGAACATCACTCAAAACATTATGATTTTGTTATTTGGGAGTTGTAGTTGCTGGGATTTATAGTTCACCTATAATCAAAGAGCCTCTGTGTCTGTCTATATATGTTGTATGTCTATGGCTTTAAATGTTTGCCATGAAAATGTGCGTTGTAATCCACCCTGAGTCCCCTGCAGGGTGAGAAGTGCGGAGTATAAATACTGTAAATAATAATAATAATAATAATAATAATAATAATAATAATAATAATAATAAATTCAGACAGACAGAGTTCTGGAGCCCAACACTCCTGACCTCACAATCCTGTTAAAAAACAAACTTTGGATTGTCGACGTCGCAATCCCAGGTGACAGCAGGATTGAAGAGAAACAACTGGAAAAGCTGACACGATATGAGGATTTAAAGATTGAACTGCAAAGACTCTGGCACAAGCCACTCAAGGGGGTCCCAGTGGTGATCAGCACACTGGGTGCAGTGCCTAAAGACCTTGGCCTGCACTTAAAAACAATTAGCGCTGACAAGATTACCATCTGCCAGCTGCGAAACGGCCACCTGGGATCTGCACGCATTATTCACCAATACATCACACAGTCCTAGACACTTGGGAAGTGTCCGACGTGTGATCCAACACAACAGCCAGCAGAGTGTCTGCTGTGGACTCATCTTGTGGTGTTTCAAATAATAATAATAATAATAATAAACAAGGACATCTAATCACCTCTCAACAAAAGTTTGCTCTAGGCACTGTCAGGCCATTATATGCTAATCAAGGTGGTCAGTTGAAACATTCACACCTAGCTCCAGCAGACAAGAGTCCTTTGTCCCAGCCTGCTCATTCCACAGATATATAAACCCTTTTTTCCTAGTTCCAACAGACCTCACTACCTCTGAGGATGCTTGCCATAGATGCAGGCGAAACGTCAGGAGGGAATGCCTCTAGACCATGGCCATATAGCCCGAAAAAACCTACAACAACCCAATAATAAACTGTATTTATACCTTGCCACCATCTCCCCAAAGGGGACTCGGAGCGGATTACATGAGGCCAAGCCCAGAGGGACATTACAGCAAAATAAAATATAAACAACAAAATAACATCACAATATAATAAATAAACCAATCAGGTCAAATAAACAGTGCAAAATAAGATAATGGAAAATCAAACAGTGGGCGAGCCAAATGCAGGACATAAAATGATAAAACTCTGAATGAGATAGCAATGAAAAAGGCATATTGGGGGGGGGGGGGGGGGGGGGGGGGAGAGATAAATCTATATAAATAAAAATGTAATGTCAGTTTGTGGTATTCACAGAACTCAAAAACCACTGGACGAATTGACACCAAATTTGGACACAAGACAGCTAACAACCCAATGTATGTCCTTCACTCAAAAACATTGATTTTGTCATTTGGGAGTTGTAGTTGCTGGGATTTATAGTTCACCTACAATCAAAGAACATTCTGAACCCCATCAACGATGGAATTGAACCAAACTTGGCACACAGTTCTCCTATGATCAACAGAAAATACTGGAAGGGTTTGGTGGGCAGTGTCCTTTGGTTTTGGAGTTGTAGTTTACACAGAGAGCACTGTGGACTCAAACAATGATGGATCTGGACCAAACTCTACAAGAATACTCAATATGCCCAAATGTGACCACTGGTAGAGTTTGGGGAAAATAGAATCTTGACATTTGGGAGTTGTAGTTGCTGGGATTTATAGTTCACCTACAATCACATAGCATTCTGAACCCAACAATAGAATTGGGCCAAACCTCCCACACAGAACCCCCATGTGGGCCACAGCAATGCGTGGCAGGGAATGGCTAGTACATAAATAATAAATCATGCCCAACGTAAAATACTGGAGAGTTTTGGAGGGAAGGACACAAAAAGCCAGCATGTATAAGAGGAAAGTATGAAGAGGTTTCCACCTCTGTTTTGTGTTTCTCCTTATCTGCATTACATAACTTGAAAAGATAATTTACCCAATAGTTGCCAACACCGTGAGGTACTGGTTGATTTGCAGCATGGCTGCGTCGAGAAGAGTGTGGATGTTCTGCAGGCACTGGAGCCGGGCTTCCAAGTGCTGCCGTTCGTGGCCTTCCATGGCTTGCAGTTCTTCTTCCGTCAGCCCTGCAAACCCAGAGGGAGGCACTGGCATCGGAGGGAAGCCTTGGAGGGGGGGAAAAGGAGAGAGGTGGCTATGCGCGAGAAATAAACCAGATCACAAGCAAAGCAGTTGAAACAAGAAGAAGACTTGAAAAGGTGCCAAACTGGGAATGCTGGATCCATTATTATGGTCTAAGGAGGTATCCTTCTGGCTGAGATTGACTATGAAGGTAGTTCCCAACATTTTTTTTTTTTACTTTCCAATATTAGTACCAAAAGAGTTATGAATTAGTTTTTGGTTTGGTTATTTGGGGTGCTGATACAGAAAATTGCACTGGATAGACCACATCAGCTCTGGTTTCTGATACAGAACATAGGCCGTGTCCAGAAGTCGCCATCTGCTCACCCACAGAAAACCATATTTAATAAGCCTCGGCACTGTAAGAGGGATTTGTGAGACCAATACTCCTAATAATATTAATATTAATAATAATAATGCTTCATTTATATTCAGCCCTATCTCCCCAGAGGGACATTACATATGTTATAATTTCAGTTGGACCTGATCATAAATATAGTTGTTCCAATTTTCCATAATTCCTTCTTTTTCATGCTATCACTGTCTGTATTGCAAGAATCAAATTTTTAAAAGGTCCTGTTCTTTTATATTAATCTTATTATTCCCTAATACTCCCATTAATATCACTTCTATATTCACTTGAGCAGGGCCATGAGGACGCAGCGAGTTAAACCACTGAGTTGCTGAACTTGGCTGACCGGAAAGTCAGCAGTTCAAATCCATAAGGTGGGGTGAGCTCCCGCTGTTAGTCCCAGCTTCTGCCAACCTAGCAGTTCGAAAACATGCAAACGTGAGTCGATCAATAGGTATCGCTTCTGTGGGAAGATAACGGCGCTCCATGCAGTCATACTGGCCACATGACCTAGAAGGAGTCTACGGACAGCGCCGGCTCTTCAGCTTAGAAATGGAGATGTGCAGCACCAGAGTCGGACTCAACTAGACCTAATGTCAAGGGGAAATCTTAACTTTACCTATATTCACTTGGAGCGGTATTTAAAATATTTTCCACTATTTTCCCCCCCAATTTTTTTTTTTTACTTTTAAGACATTCCCACCACATATGGGCATACCATCCTTTATTTGAATTTGGCCAGAATAAGTGACACGGCCTCCTCTGTTGTATAACCCATGCTCCGAAATCCAGCTATGCAGCTTTGGGTCGCAAGACTTACCAAAGAGAGGCGGGAAGGGCATCCCCATCCAAGGGGGAGGGAAGGGAAAACCGGGAACCGTCCCAGTGGAGGCTGTAGCATCAGAAGTGGAGGCTGAATCACTCCTGGGTCTTGAGGTTCCTGGTGGAAGCATAACATCAAACCATTGACGTGCTATACAAACTACCCCACTGAAAACAGATTAAAAAACATTTTTAAAGTTCAAAAAGTATTCATGAAACATTCACCTCAAACCAAGGAAAAGACACAACCAAAGCACCATGGCTGTTCACACTAGAGCAGGCAAGGTGAGTGTGCGGCCCTGCCAAGTGCTCTGACTTGCGAGGCATTTCTCACCTGCTCCTTGGGCTCCTGATGTGGAAGGAGCGGCCGTTGAAGCATTTTCTGCATTGTTTTGTGGCTGAACGCCAGGCACTGGAGGGAAAGGAGCCATGGGAGGCCACAGGGGGAACATCCCTGGGGGAAAAGGTGGCAGGATGCCTTGGGGAACTGCAGAGGGAGGGAAAGAAATACATGAAATACAACAAACCGAGATTTCTGAAAATCAGAATTATCGACAAAGATAAATTGTCTTGTTTGTGTATAAAACGGCACTGAATGATTGCCACATATGTATGTTCTTTGATCTGCCCTGAGTCCCCTTCGGGGTGAGAAGAGCGGAATATAAATAAGTAAATAGTTCAAAACACATCTGAAACAACTGCTTACAGTTTGGGGGCTGGGGGATCAGTGGAGTCTGATGGGGCGGCTGCTGCTGCTGCCCGCCGTCCTGCTGTTCGGGGGCAGCCTGAGACTGAGTGGGGAGGGAGGCGCGGAGGACATCCATTCGACAAGTGGGGCAGGTCTGCTGGCGCTGGAACCACGACCGCAGGCAGCTAAGGAAGAGGCAGCATTTGTTATACTTATTCTGCCTTTAAACCCAAGAAACTCACACTGGTGTGAAAATTATTATTATTATTATTATTATTGTACTGACACAAAAACACAGTATGTCACAGCAAACGAGATCTATATGCTGGATTTCGTATCACAAAATCACAAGTCAAACACTTCCCAAGTGGGCAAGCAGATGGCAACTACAATATAATATACTAGCCATCCCCTGCCACACATTGCTGTGGCCCACATGGGGGTTCTGTGTGGGAGGTTTGGCCCAATTCTACCGTTGGTGGGGTTCAGAATGCTCTGATTGTAGGTGAACTATAAATCCCAGTAACTACAACTCCCAAATGCCAAGGTCAATTTCCCCCAAACTCCATCTGTGTTCATATTTGGTCATATTGAGTGCTTGTGCCAAGTTTGCTCCAGATCCATCATTCTTTGAATCCACAGTGCTCTCTGGATGCAGGTGAACTACAACTCCCAAACTCAAGATCAATGCCCACCAAACACTTCCAGTATTTTCTATTGCTCATGGGAGTTCTGTGTGCCAAGTTTGGTTCAATTCCATCGTTGATGGCATTCAGAATGCCCTTTGATTGTAGGTGAACTATAAATCGCAGCAACTACAACTCCCAAATGGCAGAATCATAATTTTTTTGAGTGATGGTAACTTCTTGTGTTGTGAGACGTTTTGTTGCCAAATTTGGTGTGATTTTGTTCATTGGTTCTTTTGTTTTTAAGGTACTCATTATACACAGAGCATTATATACACACACACACACACCGACACACTAGCCATCCCCTGCCACACGTTGCTGTGGCCCACATGGGGGTTCTGTGTGGGAGGTTTGGCCCAATTCTATCACTGGTGGGATTCAGAATGCTCTGTGATTGTAGGTGAACTATAAACCCCAGCAACTACAATTCCCAAATGTCAAGATTCTATTTTCCCCAAACTCCACCAGTGTTCACATTTGGGCATATTGAGTATTCGTGTAGAGTTTGGTCTAGATCCATCATTGTTTGAGCCCACAGTGATCTCTGGATGTAGGTGAATTGCAACTCCAAAACCTAAGGACACTGCCCACCAAACCCTTCCAGTATTTTCTCTTGGTCATGGGAGAACTGTGTGCCAAGTTTGGTCCAATTCTATTGTCGGTGGGGTTCAGAATGCTCTTTGATTGTAGGTGAACTATAAATCCCAGCAACTACAACGCCCAAATGACAAAATCATTTTTTTTAGCGAAGGACATACATTGGGTTGTTAGGTGTCCAAATTTGGTGTCAATTCATCCTGTGGTTTTTGAGTTCTGTTAATACCACAAACATTACATTTTTATTTATATAGATTGTAAGTACATATAACTTGTAAGCCACTCTGAGTCCCCTTCGGGATGAGAAGAACGGGATATAAATGTCGCAAATAAATAAACTACTTGTTGTAGCTCAGCGTCCTGACAGAGCTGCTACTCCTAGTAGCAGTGGGGAAAGGTTTCCTCGGGAGTCAGAGAGTGAAAGGCAGCGTCAACGCGTTAGAGAAATCCTCATGGCACCAAGCGATAGCGATACGTTTATGGGCTTCTCAGATTACGACATGGGGAATGGGGAAGCATCTAGAGGTGTTAAAAGGACTGTTTGTGAGCCAGAATCTGAAGGAGAAGCACCAAGGAAGCGTATTTGGGAAATACTTTGTGCACCAACCGATGAAGAAGACTTTTTGGGTTTTGAACAGAGTTCTGGGGCTGAGAGTAGCATGGAGGGGGAGGAATTGGATTGGACTCAGGTACAAAATATAAGAGACAACTGCAATCAGCCCACCTCCACCGAGGAGTTCGAGGGGTTCATGGGGGACTGGTAGCCAGGTGATTCTTGGCAGAATCTGACCCCTGATAGTAATTGGCAAAGGTGGAGAGATGGGCATTCAGCTGCAGACTTGGAAGCAGGTGATAGCAATGATGAAAGGGTGGGGAGCTCATCAAGCTCTGACAATGAGCTTTAAGATATAAGGGAGTTCTGTTGGCACATTTGGTTGCAGGAAGCAAAGTGTCCAAATGGGACCTTACTCTTTGCCTTGCCAAACTCTCACCTTTGGGTCCCAGGCTCCAGCCTCGTGAGTTCCTGTTGTTCCAGCTTTGTTTCCTTCGGATTGACCTCGGGACCGGTTTGACCACGCTCTGGCTTTTCTGGACTTTATGTGTTTATATTTTTGTGACTAAAAACATTCTTTTGTTCTGAAACTGTGATTTTCTTGCTCCAGTGACTGTATTTCTGCTACATATTGATTTTTAAGCAGTTTGCTTCACTTTATGTTTAAATTGGATTATAGAGCTACATTATAATCCAGATTATATTTTTGTTTGCTGAAACTACTTCTTTTTGGTACCAACTTTCTCACAGCATCCTCTGCACTGTTGTTAAGTGCATTTTTGATACTTTTGTGTTTATTAAAGCTGTGTTTGAACTTTACTTTGTGTTTGGCATTGTTTACAAGCATCTGGGTCGCGACACTACTGGATAGTATATGTTTTGAATCAGAAACTAGAGCTGATGTGGTCTACCCAATCCAATTTTCTGAATCAGCACCCCAAATAACCAAACCGAAGCTAAAGTTGACCAAAAACTGATTCGCAACTCTTTTGGTACGAATGTTGGAGAGTGAGTGGTCCCTGGTTTAAAAAAAGTTGGGAACCAATGTTGTAAATGTTCCATGTATAAAGCCACCATGGCACATTTGGGGTATTAAAATGTGGGCTTTACAAAATAACCCCAAATCATCCTTTAGGTGGGTTACCTGGTGTGGAAGCATTGCCTGAACATCAAGCAAAAAGTGGGTGCCAGAAACAATATCATACGAAAGCTGACTGGCACAACCTGGGGATCACAACCAGACACAGTGAAGACATCTGCCCTTGCGCTATGCTACTCTGCTGCTGAGTATGCATGCCCAGTGTGGAACACATCTCACCACGCTAAAACAGTGGATGTGGCTCTTAATGAGACATGCCGCATTATCACGGGGTGTCTGCGCCCTACACCACTGGAGAAATTACACTGTCTAGCACCGGCACCACCTGACATCCGCCGGGAAGTAGCAGCCAATAGTGAAAGGACCAAGGCAGAGACATCTCCAGCTCATCCCCTGTTTGGGTATCAGCCAGCACGTCAACGACTTAAATCTAGACATAGTTTTCTAAGATCTACAGAGACACTCGCTGGAACACCTCAGCAAGTGAGAGTCCAAAAGTGGCAGGCTCAAACCCAGAACCTCAACCAATGGCTGATACCAAATGAGAGACTCCCCCCTGGGCACACAGAAGACTGGGCGACTTGGAAGGCGCTGAACAGACTGCGCTCTGGCACCACAAGATGCAGAGCCAACCTTAAGAAATGGGGCTACAAAGTGGAATCCTCGACATGCGAGTGTGGAGAAGAGCAAACCACTGACCACCTGCTGCAATGCAACCTGAGCCCTGCCACATGCACAATGGAGGACCTTCTTGCAGCAACACCAGAGGCACTCCAAGTGGCCAGATACTGGTCAAAGGACATTTAATCAGCTACCAAGTTTGCAAAATTTGTGTGTTTTTTATCTGTTTGTTTTGTTCTGTTAGAAATGTAATACAATGTTCTGGTTGCGGATGACACGATAAATAAATCCTTTAGGCGGGTTCACCTGGTATGGAAGATGTGGTTGCAAGGCAGGCGTTTTGCCCCCGTCACCATCTCCTCTCGGCAAATGATGCACACGTTGTCCATGGCTTGCAGCTCTTCTGGGGTGGCATCAGGGTACCTGATGAAGGGGAAAAGGTCTTCCGTAAGAGGGAATTGGGAATTCTGACATTCTACAATTAACCGATGTGAGTTACTGCTCCAATAAAGATTGAAATATAATAAAACAATGTTTGAGGAAACCCCCACAATTAACAACTTGTTCCATTACTGTCTGCTGGGTTGCCTAGCCCTTCCTAACTGGTTCCTTCATACAAAACCGCTGTCATAGCTGTTCATTCAGATGGCTGGTCAACCAAAGGAAATCATCAGAGACCACCGTGAAAAAAGGCACAGCAAATACTCACAAGGTGTTCATATTGCGGATGGCGCGGCGGGACATGATGGCGTCCGTCACAGCTTTCTTGAATTGCCTGGATGGACAGAAGCAAGAGACAAGTCAGAACATTTACTAGGAAGGAACACCAAGCTCATTTCAGGTTTCACTGACACTTCTCAAAGAACGAATGTGAGAACAACAGGCTCAAGGAAGAAAAAGAAAGTTCAGACTTGACATATTTTTATGTGCCTGGGGAAAACTGTTCTAATAAAACATTAAATCTGATATACACTAACTAATTATTAATTACAAATTATTAATTATTTTAAAAGAGCCTCTTACTCCTAAGTCAATTTGTAAATGTTTCGTTTTTTGAAAAAAGGAAAAATTATTTTTATAAGCCAAGAATGACACCTTAGGCAGTCCCTTGCTGTCCAAATATGATGGCCTTACAAGTTTGTTTGTTTTTTTGTCGTGTCAGGAGTGACTTGAGAAACTGCAAGTCGCTTCTGGTGTGAGAGAATTGGCTGTCTGCAAGGACGTTGCCCAGGAGTCACCCAGATGTTTTGAAGTTTTATCATCCTTCTGGGAGGCTTCTCTCATGTCCCCGCATGGGGAGCTGGAGCTGACAGAGGGAGCTCATCCACACTCTCCCCTGATTCAAACCTGCGACCTGTCGGTCTTCTGTCCTGCCGGCACAGGGGTTTAACCCACTGTGTCACTGGGGGCTCCACCTTACAACTGTAGTGTCCTGATGATGGATATGTGGGTGACTGCGGAGCCCTCTTCTTGATCTGCATCTTCTCCCACAGTGAGGACTGATTTCCAGGTGGAAGGCGGTCCCGGTCAGGGTTGCCTTGACACGCCTTCCTCCTGGCACATTTCTCCCTTTCACCCTCCATTCGTGCCTCTTTGAATTCCGCAGCACTGCTGGTCACAGCTGACCTCCAGCTGGAGCGCTCAAGGGCCAGGGCTTCCCAGTTCTCGGTCTCTATGCCAGAGACTTTACGGTTGGCTTTGAGCCCATCTTTCAATCTCTTTTCCTGTCCTCCAACATTCTGTTTTCCGTTCTTGAGTTCGGAGTAGAGCAACTACTTTGGGAGATGGTGGTCGGGCATCCGGACAACGTGGCTGGTCCAGCGGAGCTGATGGCGGAGAACCATCGCTTCAATGCTGGTGGTCTTTGCTTCTTCCAGCACACTGATATTTGTCCGCTTGTCTTCCCAAGGGATTTGCAGGATTTTCCGGACGCAGCGCTGATGGAATCATTCCAGGAGTTGTATGTGACGTCTGTAGTCTATGCCACTGTTTTAAGGTTAGCTTTAAGCCCACATCTTGAAATCTCTTTTCCATTTTCTGCTCTTGAGTTGGGAATAGAGTAACTACTTTGGGAGGCGGTGATCTTTGGGCATTTGGACAATGGCATTCCATAGCCAAAGGAGGGCATTCCATAGTCAAGGAGCCACCACTGAGAAGGCCCTGTCTCTCGTCCCCGCCAAACGCATCTGCGAGGAAGGCAGGATCGAGAGCTGGCCTCCCCAGACGATCTTAAAGTCCTAGATAGAATCATAGAATCATAGTTGGAAGAGACCTCATGGACCATCCAGTCCAACCCCCTGCCAAAAAAGGAATATTACATTCAAAGCACCCCCAACAGATGGCCATCCAGCCTCTGTTTAAAAGCCTCCAAAGAAGGAGCCTCCATCACACTCTGGGGCAGGGAGTTCCACTGCTGAACGGCTCTCACAGTCAGGAAATTCTTCCTCGTGTTCAGATGGAATTTCCTCTCTTGTAGTTTGAAGCCGTTGTTCCGTGTCCTAGTCTCCAGGGAAGCAGAAAACAAGCTTGCTCCCTTCTCCCTGTGACTTCCTCTCACATATTTATACATGGCTACCATGACTCCTCTCAGCCTTCTCTTCTTCAGGCTAAATATGCCCAGCTCTTTACACCGCTCCTCATGGGGCTTGTTCTCCAGACCCTTGATCATTTGAGTCGCCTTCCTCTGGACACATTCCAACTTGTCAATATCTCTCTTCAATTGTGGTGCCCAGAATTGGACACAATATTCCAGGTGCGGTCTAGCCAAGGCAGAATAGAGGGTTTAATAAGGAGAGATACGTTCGGATAGGCAAGCAGGACAGGAACCGTTTATATGGCATCAGATTCCAGATATGTGCAACTAGATAACAAATGTGTCCATCGGGACTGTGGCACCGGGACTGTGGCACAGATGGCTGAGTGTTTTTATGAGCTCACTGCAAATAACCTGCTCCTATTTTTATCTCATTAGAGTCTTTTAATCATTTTATCCTGTACATGTGGCCCACCCACTGTTATCATTATTATGTTTATTGGAATGTTATTTTGTTACTGTGTTTATACTTTTTTTCCTATGTAATTTTGATGATGTTGCTTGTTCTGGTTTCATTTTGCTGTAACATGTTGTCCGGGCTTGGCCCCATGTTAGCCACTCCGAGTCCCCATTGGGGAGATGGTGGTGGGGTAAAAATAAAGATTATTATTATTATTACTACTATTATTAAGATCACTTCTGCCCAAAAGGTCATGAGTTCGAAGCCAGCCCAGGTCGGGGTGAGCTTCCAACCAATTGTGTAGCTTGTAGTCGACCTTTGCAACCCGAAAGATAGTTGCATCTGTCAAATAGGAAAATTAGGTATCACCTATGTGTGGGGAGGCTAATTTAACTAATTTACGAGGCCATAATAAAGACTCCAGTAAAGCACTCCAACAAAAGCATATGGGGAATGCAGAAGTACTTCATCAGTGTCGCAGATGGATGATGAAAGCGACAACTCCCCTGTTGGCCAGAAAAGTTAAATAGCCTCTGACTGTCTGTTGCGTGTCTATGGCATTGAATGTTTGCCATGTCTGTGTACATTGCAATCCGCCCTGAGACCCCTGCGGGGTGAGAAGGGCGGAATATAAATACTGTAAATAAATAAATAATGTCATTTGAAGACAGATAATTGTTCTTCCAAACTGTGGGCAACGGCCTGGTGATTTTGTCCTTTTTATGGAAACAGAGTATTTAAAAAAGCTTATAAACCCTGTCATAAAAGTTTTTAAATGCGACGTGAATGCAATCCAGGTGAAATAACTTCGATTCCATCAGTGCTTGAACACACAACGTTAACCAAAACCTGTCTTACCTCATAGCTAGGTACATGGGACGGATGGCAAACAGTGGGAAGGTGTGCACTTTAATCATTATGGTCATGAAGGCCACATACAACAGGACCTTGATGAAACCTAGGAAAAGAGAAAGAGGGTTCACAAACTGTTAAATTGGTGCCCCCCCATGAGGAGAAGTTGCCTGAGACACAATTCTGTTGAAATCACATCAGGCCCTAACAAAGAGTGGCCCAAGCTCTCTCCCACTTGCCTCTTCCTCGGATTCCCTCACCTGTGAAGAGCTCCGTATAAAGCATATAGACCGCCTTGTTGTCCCAGGGGTTTTCACTCTGGAGGTCAATGGAGTGCAAGATGTACTTGATGAAAATAGTGAGCACCATGGTCATCAAAATGGCATACTGCAAGAGTGACAGAGAAAACCTCACATCAGTTGGCAGAACTCCCTACCTCCATCCTCATAAAAGGCAGACAGCAAGCTCCAACTAGTCCAACGCTCGGCAGCCATGATTTTAACAGGAGCAGAGTGCAGGGAGCATACAACCCCCCTGTTGCGCCAACTCCACTGGCTACCGATCTGCTACCGGGCTCAATTCAAAGTGCTGGCGTTGGCCTTTAAAGCCCTAAACGGTTCCGGCCCAAGCTACCTATCCGACCGCATCTCTGCCTATGAACCCACCAGGACTTTGAGATCTTCCGGGGAGGCCCTGCTCTCGATCCCGCCTGCTTCTCAAGCTCGGCTGGCGGGGACGAGAGATAGGGCCTTCTCGGTGGTGGCTCCTCGGCTGTGGAACGCCCTTCCTACGGACATTAGACTAGCACCATCTCTAATGGTATTCCGCAAAAAGGTGAAGACCTGGATGTTTATGCAGGCGTTTGAGTAATTTAGTGCAATCTGGTAATGGAACATAGGAATGGAACAATGGACGACGAACCTGGACTACGCTTGGATGATGAGAAGATTGGGTACGGTTGTTTTTTGTAATAATTGTGCATTGTATTGCTTATTGGTAATTTATGGATAATGTGTTAAGTCAATTGTTATATGTTGTATGGAACCACTGCTGTTTCTACTGTTTTTACTGTTTGTGAACCGCTGTGAGTCGCCTTCGGGCTTGAGATACAGCGGTATATAAGCAAAGTAAATAAATAAATAATAAATAAATAATAATGGGGGCCTTTCATGAGGCCTCCCCCCGCCCAATTCTACCAGGCATCACTACAACACTGCTTTTAGGGATTATTAAAGAGTGATTCAATGTGTTTTTAAACATGTTTCATTCCTATATTACTTTTTATTTGTCTGTTGTGAAGTGGGAGGCAATACAGAAAACTGGTTCCCCTTCAGATCGTAAGCCAGAGCTGCCAGCACATTAACATCTATTAATGTTCAGCCATAAGTATATTATTATTATTATTATTATTATTATTATTATTATTTGATGCACAAGATTAGTACACAGCAAACAAGATCACTATGCTGGCTTTACTGCAGATGGGGATAATAATAATAAGCTATTATTATTATTACTAGCCGTCCCCTGCCACACGTTGCTGTGGTGATCTGGAAAATAAAATAATGAGGAAGTGTTGGTTTCTAATATATGTAATTTCTTGATGCTTGTGGGTAAACAGTATTTCTTGTTGTTTCTTTGTCAGTGTCGATGTGGAGATTGCCTGGTTTGCCTACTCTGGAACAAGCAACATATTATTGTCCTTCTTTAAGGGTCCATTTCAAATCTATGATACTATATCTGTGTGTGTGTGAATCATATATATCTAACCATATCTATGGCTGGAAGACTCTTTGTCAGGAGGGCTTTAATTACGTTTTCTTGCCCTAGTGAAGTTGGACTGGATGGCCTTAAGTATTTTCTGTTGGTCATGGGAGTTCTGCTTGGGCAGTTTGCCCCAGTTCTATTGTTGGTGGAGTTCAGAATGCTCATTGATTGTAGTAGGTAGGTAGGTAGTCCCCTGACATTAAGTCCAGTCATGTCTGACTCTGGGGTGTGGTGCTCATCTCCATTTCTAAGCCGAAGAGCCAGCATTGTCCGTAGACACCTCCAAGGTCATGTGGCCGGCATGACTGCATGGAGCGACGTTACCTTCCCGCCGGAGCGGTACCTATTGATCTACTCACATTTGTATGTTTTCGAACTGCTAGGTTGGCAGAAGCTAGGGCTGACAGCGGAAGCTCACGCCGCTCCCCGGAATCGAACCTGCGACCTTTCGATCAACAAGCTCAGCAGCTCAGTGCTTTAACCCACTGCGCCACCGGGGGCTCCTCATTGATTGTAAGAGAACTATAAATCCCAGCAACTACAACTCCCAAATATCAAGGTCTATTTTCCCTAAACTCCACCAATGTTCACATTTGGGCATATGGAGTATTCGTACTGAGATTGGTCCAGATCCATAATTGTTTGAGTCCACAGTACTCTCAGGATGTAGGTAAACTACAACTCCAGAACTCAAGGTCAATGCACACCAAACCCTTCTAGTATTTTCTGTTGTTGATGGGAGTTCTGTGTGCCACATCTGGTTCAATTCCATCGTTGCTGGAGTTCAGAATGCTCTTTGATTGGAGGGGAACTATAAATCCCAGCAACTACAACTCCCAAATGAGAAAATCAATTTTTTTTTAGTGAAGGTCACTCTTTGGGTTAGTAGGTGTCTTGTGGCCAAAATTTTTGAGAGAAGGACATACATCGGCTTGTTAGGTGTACGCTGCACAAATTTGGTGTCAATTCGTCCAGTGATTTTTGAGTTATGTTAAACCCACAAATAAACATTACATTGTTATTTATACAGATTATTATTATTATTATTATTATTTGAAAAACAAGATCACACTTTGTATTGGATCACGTTGGCCACTTCCCAAGTGTCTAGGACTATGTGATGTATTGCAAATAATGAATGCAGATCCAAGTAGGGTGGCCTTTTGCAGCTGACAGATGGTAACTTTGCCAGCGCCGATTGTTTTTAGGTGCAGGCAAGGTCTTGAGGCACTGCACCCAGTGTGCTGATTACCACTGGGACCACCTTGTGCCAGAGTCTTTGCAGTTCAATCTTTAAATCCTCATATCATGTAAGTTATTCCAGTTGCTTCTCGTCAATCCTGCTGTCACCTAGGATTGCAACATCTATGATCCATACTTTGTTTTCTTTTTCACGATTGTGAGATCAGGAGTATTGTGCTCCAAAACTCTGTCTTGTCTGAATTCGGAAATCCCAGAGTAGTATGATGTGTTCATTTTCTGTAACTTTTTCCGATTTGTGATCCCACCAGTTCTTTGTCACAGGCAAACGATTTTTGTGGCACAATTTCCAATGAATCATCTGAGCCACGGTGTTGTGCCTCTGCTTGTAGTCTGTCTGCGCAATCTTCATGCAGCAGCTGAGGATGTGATCTATTGTTTCATCTGCTTCATTGCAGAGTCTACACTTGGGATCTGTCGTTGACTTTTCAATTTTGGCTTTGATGGCATTTGTTCTAATGGCTTGTTCTTGGGCGGCAAGAATCAGACCCTCTGTCTCCTTTTTCAAATTTTCATTTGTGAGCCACATTCATGCTTTTTCCTTGTCCATTTTGCTGTCAGCTGTCCACAGAAAGCCTTCTTTTGGTTCCCCCAGATCAGGGGTCGGGAACCTTTGGCCCTCCAGCTGTGGTGGACTTCAACTCCCACAATTCCTTGAGGCTCGGCATTCGCCCCAAAGGCTTACCTTGGCCCAACGAGGTTTGTTTGGCTCTTTTTCATGGAGGACGGGCAGCAAAGGGGGAGAGACGAGCGTAACGTAGCTGTGCAGATGGCGAGGAAGGATGCGGAGCCCACAGACTGGCCTCGGAGGGAGAGAGTGGGCGGAAACCCCTGCGGGCAACGCGCCTCCTCGCCGCTTCGGCCCGTAGCACCCGCCCCGCATGGACCCCCTCCCTAGCAACGACGCCGGCTGAGTGACGTCGTGCAGAGCTTGTCGGGGAAAAGGGAAGGCGAAGGCTGGAGGGAAAGGGCTCTGCGCTGTTTAAGCGGCGAGGAGGCGCGTTGCCCGCAGGGGTTTCCGCCCGCTCTCTCCCTCCGAGGCCAGTCTGTAGGCTCCGCATCCTTCCTCGCCATCTGCACAGCTACGTTACGCTCGTCTCTCCCCCTTTGCTGCCCGTCCTCCATGAAAAAGAGCCAAACAAACCTCGTTGGGCCAAGGTAAGCCTTTGGGGCGAATGCCAAGCCTCAAGGAATTGTGGGAGTTGAAGTCCACCACAGCTGGAGGGCCAAAGGTTCCCGACCCCTACCCCAGATCATAAGCCAGAGCTGCCAGCATGTTAACATCTATTAATGTTCATCCATAAGTCTATGTGCTGGTACAACTGCATCAGGAGCTCCAATTTTGTTTGCTTTGCATTGAATGTTTGTTGTAGTCCTAAGTTTCAGGGACTCTGCAGATAGGTGGCTTCTTTTGGCTGCAATCATAGGGCAAGCCACCTGTCAATTATAGTTAGGTTCCCTGGTCCCGCCCCCTTTGGGGTTTTTGGAGGGAATAGGAGCCTTTTTGGGTTCAGTCCACATAGAGAAGCTTTCCATGCAGGACATAATATCAACAGCTCCTGTAGAAAGCTTTGTCTTCTACGGCTTGGCCGGGGAGATATACAGTCTACAGCTTGGCCGGGGTTATACAGCCCACAGCTTGGCTGAGGATCATACAGCCTTACAGCTCCTTTGCTGAGGGACTTCAGCCAGCCATCACCGAAACCTGAACTCGTTTTCCCCTGGAAGTCTACAAAGCTCTGCTTGGTAAGGGTCACTCGCGGAAGCCAGACACAGTTGGTACCAGGTGTAGGGGCTCCACGCCAACAAAGGCAAAGAAAGTCTGCCCAGATTAGAAGTTAAGCATTTCCCCATTAGTTAAAATACCAGTCATGAAGATAGTGCCTGTTCCCTGTGGACAAAATTGAAAGAGCCAATAGACTGTTAAGAAAGCCTTAAAGTACCTGTTTGTTTTCATTAATAAAGAACTTTGTTTAACCTTTAAGTATTCTAGAGCCTGTGTTTTAAGGAAATCCAAAGGCCTTTAATCTGAGGCAGCCCCGGCGTCCCGTTGGGCACACGGAATTTATTATTATTATTATTATTATTATTATTATTATTATTAACTTTATTTGTACCCCGCTAGCATCTCCCGAAGGACTCGATGCGGCTCACACAGGCCGAAGCCTCAAAACACAATACAGTAAAAACATAACACGACAGTAGAAAACACAGCAAATCAAAAGTTAAGCAAGCAACAACGACAATAACAATACAACGTGACACTTTAAAACTGGGCCGGCCAGCGCAATGGGGTACAGGGTTAAAAGTGCTAGAGTGGCAGGAGGAGCATAGGAATAAAATAGTACGGTGTGCAGTAATGTTAATTGTACTAAAGTGCTTCTAGGACTTGGGTGGGGGATTCCTAATCTGAGAAGGCACATCGGAACAGCCAAGTTTTTAGGTTCTTTCTGAAAGCTGCTAAAGTAGGGGCCTGGCGAAGATCTTTTGGAAGGGCATTCCAAAGTCGGGGGGCCGCCACAGAAAAGGCCCTGTCCCGTGTCCCCACCAAGCGCGCTTGCGACGTAGGTGGGATCACGAGCAGGGCCTCCCCAGATGATCGAAGCGAGCGTGTGGGTTCGTAGATGGAGATGCGGTCACGCAGGTAGGGTGGTCCCAAACCGTTTAGGGCTTTGTAGGTGAGCACCTGCACCTTGAATTGGGCTCGGAAAATAAATGGCAGCCAGTGGAGCTCCTTAAACAGAGGGGTAGACCTCTCTTGATAATGAGCCCCAGTTAGCATCCTGGCTGCTGCCCACTGGACCAGTTGGAGTTTCCGAGCCGTCTTCAAGGGCAGCCCCACGTAGAGCGCATTGCAGTAATCCAATCTAGAGGTGACCAAGGCATGGACCACCCCGGCCAGATCAGCCTTCGCGAGGTACGGTCGCAGCTGGCGCACAAGTCTCAATTGTGCAAAGGCCCTCCCGGATACCGCCGACACCTGAGCCTCAAGCGTGAGCGATGAATCCAAGAGGACACCCAAACTGCGGACCTGTGGCTTCAGGGGGAGTGTAACCCCGTCCAACACAGGTAGCCACCCTATACCCCGATCCGGTTTACGATCGACCAGGAGGACCTCTGTCTTGTCGGGATTGATCTTCAGCTTGTTCTTCCTCATCCAGATCGACACAGCGGCCAGGCACTCGTCCAGCACCCGAGAAGCCTCCTTGGAATTAGGTGGAAAGGAGTAGTAGAGTTGTGTGTCATCCGCATAGAGATGGCACCCACCTCCAAAACTCCGGATGACCTCGCCCAGCGGTTTCATGTAGATGTTAAAAAGCATGGGCGACAAAATAGAGCCTTGCGGGACCCCACAGGTCAAAGGCCAGGGGTCCGAGCAGCGTCTCCCAGCTTCACCATCTGGGTCGACCCTCCAGGAAGGACCGGAGCCACGACAGAACCGCGCCCCCGAGGCCCATCCCCGAGAGACGACCCAGAAGGATACCATGATCGATGGTATCGAAAGCCGCTGAGATGTCCAAGAGAGCCAACAGAGTCACACTCCCCCTGTCCAGCTCTCTATGGAGGTCATCCACCAAGGCTGTCTCAGTGCCGTGACCAGGCCTGAAACCAGACTGCGACTGATCTAGGTAGTTGATGTCATCCAAAAAGCCCTAACAACCCAATGACCTTCTCAACCTCTGAGGATTCGCACTAGAGCGTGGACTACCGTGACCAAGTCAGACTTGGGAAGTCTGACTTGGCCACGGTAGTCCACGCTCTAGTTACATCCCGTATAGACTACTGCAACGCTCTCTACGTAGGGTTGCCTCTGAAGACTGCTCGGAAGCTTCAAATGGTCCAACGATCGGCAGCCAGGATATTAACAGGAGCGGCACTCAGGGAGCATACAACTCTGTTGCGCCAGCTCCACTGGCTGCCAATTTGCTACCGGGCACAATTCAAAGTGCTGGCTTTAGCCTTTAAAGCCCTAAACGGTTCTGGCCCGACCTACCTCTCCGAACGCATCTCCTCCTATGAACCAGTTAGGACATTAAGATCGTCTGGGGAGGCCCTGCTCTCGGTCCCGCCAGCTTCACAAGCACCCCTGGCGGGGATGAGAGACAGGGCCTTCTCAGTGGTGGCCCCTCGGCTGTGGAACGCCCTTCCTGCAGACATCAGATCGGCCCCCTCCTTACTGACATTCCGGAGGAAAGTGAAAACCTGGCTGTTTCAACAGGCATTTGACTAAGCAGTACAAATGATTGATTAGCAGAACATGGAATAATGGATAACGAGACTAGATTCTGATTCTAGTGATGAGATCAGATGGATTTGTTATATTGATGTATTGATATATTGTTGTATTGATGCTTACGGTTTAATTAACTTGTTATGTGATTGCTTTTAAATACCCAATAACCTTGTATTTTGTATACTGAAACTGTGCTGTTAACCACTCCGAGTCGCCTAAGGGCTGAGAGGAGCGGTATACAAATAAAGTAAATAAAATAAAGTAAATAAATAGTACAGTTCTCTCTCCTGCGATGCATTGTATTTTTACGGTATTCACTTTATTATTGTTGTTGTTATAATATTTTAATGGAGAGTTTAAAAAGCTTTAAATAAATAAGTAGGGGGAAACCTCAACTTAAAAGTTTTCCCTTTCTCAATAGTTTAATGGAAGGGAGAAGGGATGATACGAAGCTTGTGACCCAAAATCTGGGCCAGAAAACAAAGAGCTACTTATATGGTGTGGAAGGAGCTTGGTAGGAACTTCGCAGTGGAAAATGTCTATTTTTCTCTTTGAACAGTAGAGAGGCTATTTGACTTTTCAACCCCCAAAACAATTCTGGCACATGACTGGGGATGCACATACAGTACAGAATGAAAAGAGTTTGACACTGCTATGGTTCAAACTGAATCTTGGCAGGCAAGCAGCACTCTTTAGCAGAGAAGGATAAAGGTAAAGGTTTTCCCCTGACATTAAGTCTAGTCGTGTCCAACTCTGGGGAGTGGTGCTCATCTCAATTTCTAAGCCAAAGAGCCAGCGTTGTCTATAGACACCTCCAAGTTCATGCGGCCGGCATGACTGCACGGAGAGCGGTTACCTTCCCACCAAAGTCTACTCACATTCGCATGTTTTCGAACTCCTGATTCTTGGACTAGATGGCCCATGAGGTCTCTTCCAACTCTACAATTCTATGATTCTAACTGCTAGAATCTGGAAGCTGGGCCTAACAGTGGGAGCTCATTCCGCTTCTCAGATCTGAACCACCAACCTTTTGATCAGCAAGTTTGAAAGTTTAATCAGCTGGGATAAAGACATTAGGTCCTGTGATTCCATGTCTGGAGAAAGAGAAAGGTGATGCCTGCCTGTGGTCCCTCTGGTTTATTATTTGCATGTGTTCACTGGTCTGCAATATGCGTGCCACAACAAAAGGATCCCAAGCAACCACCATTAATGGCACAATCCTACACAGTCACCTTCACTGACCTCAAACCCAAAGACCAGCTGGACCGAGGCTCCCCGCGTGAGGATGCTGTGGTACGCATGACTGACAAACAGGAAGTCCAGGATGCCCAGGAGAACCATTAAAGCTGAAAAGAGCAAATTTAACCATCAAGAGAAGAAGGAACTACAGAGGACACAGTGCCCACTCACCCAGCATAGTCCCAGTATTTTAACATCCTCCTAACAGAAATTCATATAGTGATCAGTTAAATAATAATAATAATAATAATAATAATATTTATTTATTTATACCCCACCACCATCTCCCCAATGGGGGGAGGAGATCTGGAACCTGCATCAATAGGAATCTAGTGTCTAGATCCAGGGAAGTCATGCTCCCCATGCTCTATTCTGCCTTGGTTAGATTACACCTAGAATATTGTGTCCAATTCTGGGCACCACAACTGAAGAGAGATATTGACAAGCTGGAATGTGTCCAGAGGAGGGCGACTAAAATTATCAAGAGTCTGGAGAACAAGCCCTATGAGGAGTGGCTTAAGGAGTTGGGCATGTTTGGCCTGTCCTATTCTGGGCACCACAATTGAAGAGAGACACTGACAAGCTGGAATGTGTCCAGAGGAGGGCGACTCAAATGATCAAGGGTCTGGAGAACAAGCCCTATGAGGAGCGGTTTAAAGAGTTGGGTATGTTTAGCCTGCAGAAGAGAAGGCTGAGTTGAGACATGATAGCCATGTAGAAATATGTGAGAGGAAGTCACAGGGAGGAGGGAGCAAGCTTGTTTTCTGCTGCGCTTGAGACTAGGACATGGAACAATTGCTTCAAACTACAAGAAAGGAGATTCTATTTGAACATGAGGAAGAACTGATTATATATATCTATATATATATAATGTAATATAATATAATACTAATAATAAATTATAATGATATATTTTATAGTACATGTAATATTACTAATAATATCACAATATAATAGTATAGTAAAATATAGTAATATATAATAGTGATATTGTACTATGCTAATAATAGTACAATATGAGAGCTGTTCAGCAGTGGAACTCTCTGCCCCAGAGTGTGGTGGAGGTTCCTTCTTTGGAGGCTTTTAAATAGAGGCTGGGTGGCCATCTGTTGGGGGTGCTTTGAATGCAATTTTCCTGCTTCTTGGCAGAATAGGGTTGGACTGGATGGCCCATGAGGTCTCTTCCAACTCTATGATTCTATGAACCTGTGGCCCTCCAGATGTTGGTGGAATAAAAAGTCCATCATCCTGGACTACCAGCCATACTGGCTGAGACCAACGGAAGCTGGAGTCCTAAACACTTTGCATAATTAACATGTAGGGCTCCAGAAGTCTCATAACAGACTTCTGGAGTCTGTCATAACAGAGAACTTTGCAAAGGGAAAAGGAAACCAAGATGGAGAAGGAAAGACTCAAGAAAAGGGCTGATACTTACAAACAATGCGGAAGTGAAAGAGCCATGAAATGTTAGGACTTCTCTCCATCTAAAAAAAAGAAAAACAAAGCCATATTGCACTTGTTAGTGGAGGAAGTCAAGCAGAAAGTGAAATATTTCCTAAATACTAGTCATGTTTACTTATGCTTCCCATCACAAACATGGGGAAATTGTGACCCTCAAGATGGTTGGGAGTGTCACTGAGATTGATGGATGTTACAACAAGCCCACCCATTACGGCACTGTAGTGCTCTGTCTTCTTTGCAGAGACTGTACAATGTCTTTCACCCACATGAATCTCAAAGGTCAGCAGAGCTGAAACCCTTAAAGTTATATGATCCCGGTTTACACAAAACAAACTCCACCCAGCACCAACTGCCGCTCTGGACCAGAGTGAAGAGGAAAGGGGCCAGGGGACAGTTCCACCTTGTCTCCTCTGCTATGCTAATAATATAATATAATATCTATATAAATAAAAATGTAATGTTCATTTGTGGGATTAACATAATTCAAAAACCACTGGACAAATTTACACCAAATTTGGACACAAGACACCTCTCAGGCCAAAGAGTGACCATCACTCATAAAAACACTGAAAAACACAGCGGAAGAGACGTAAAAAGCCAAAAAACAAGAAATACAACACATGCACAGAACCACACATATATATACACATATACACAAACACACATATATACACACATATATGCATATACACATACAAAACACATACACGGACGGACGGAAGGAAGGAAGGAAGGAAGGAAGGAAGGAAGGAAGGAAGGAAGGAAGGAGGGAAGGAGAGAAGGCGGGAAGGAGAGAAGGAAGGAAAGAAAGAAGGGTAGAGAAAGAAGGAAGGAGAGAAGGAGGGAAGGAGAGAAGGAGGGAAAGAAAGAAGGGTAGAGAAGGAAAGGAGGAGAGAAGGAGGGAAAGAAAGGAAAAGGAGGGAAGGAGAGAAAGAAAGAAAAAAAAGAAAGGTAGAGAAGGGAGGAAGGAGAAAAGGAAATAAAAAAGTGAAAGAGGGAAGGAAGGAGAGAAGGAACCGAAGACAGAAAGAGGGAGGGAAGGAAGGAAGGAAGGAGACTAGGAAAAAAGGAACCAAAGAGCAAAGAAAGTGAGATAAGAAACAGAGAAGGAAGGAAGAAGGGAAAGAAAAAGAGGGAAGGAAGGAAGGAGAGAAAGAGGGAGGGAAGGTTGGTCACAGCAACGCATGGCAGGTACAGCTAGTAATATAATATAATATAATATAATATAATATTTATAATATTATAATATAACAATATAATACTACTACTAATAATAATAATAATATGGTATTATAATTATATATATTATAGTACATGTAATATCTATATAAACAAAACTGTAATGTTTGTCTGTGGGATTAATATAACGCAAAAACCACTGGACGAATTGACACCAATTTTGGACACAACACACCTATCAGGCCAATAAGTGACCATCACTCATAAAAATACTGAAAAGCAGAGCAGAAGAGACTTAAAAAGCCAAAAATTAAAAAATACATTACAACGCATGCGCACAAACATACATATATACACATATACACACAAACATATATGCATATATACACACACAAAACACATACACAGAAAGGGGGAAGAAAGAAAGGAGAGAAGGAGGGAGAGAAAAGGGGAAAGAAGGTGGAATTGAGAGAGGGAAGGAAAGAAAGAAAGGTAGAGAAGGAAGGAAGGAGAGAAGGAAATAAAAAAGTGAAAGAAGGAAGGAAAGAGAGAGGGAACGAAGGAGAGAAGGAATGAAAGAGAGAGGGAAGGAAGGAAGGAAAGAGACAAAGAAGGATGGAACCAAAGAGCAAAGGAAAGGAGGAAAGAAACAGGTAGAGAAGGAAGAAAGAAGAAGGGAAAGAAAAAGAGGGAGGGAAGGAAAGAGGGAGGGAAGGTTGGCCACAGCAACATGTGGCGGGTACAGCTAGTTGCTAATAATATCACAATATAATGGTATAGTACAATATAGTAATTTATAATAGTGATATTGTACTACGCTAATAATCGGAGTGAGAAGGGCGGCATATAAATGTCGTAAATAAAATAAATAAAGAAACAAACAAACTACACTGTTTGGCTTTAACAGAAAAATCAAGGCAACCAAATCCTAACAGCTCTAAGCAGTAAGAACGTTTTAATCTCTCGTACTCACAAAGTCCACCCGATCCTCAGCCAGCCAGTGGAAGCACTTGAGGAACAGAAGGAGGGTGAACAGGGCCACAAACCGAGGACTGAAATCATCCCTGAAGACTGTGAAGGCAAGGCAGGTCTCGGTCACGGCGTACCACGATCGCTCAAGTAGATGCTGTGTGAGAGAACAACTGTCCATGATTTTTGTCTACAAGCAGCTCTCTCCAACTCTGGATCCCTCTTCATGCCACTCTAAAAAAACTGCAACTTTCTTTACTTGACATTCAGAAAGATGCTGCACAGTAGACAGCTTAAGGATTACTATATATTCAAATTTATAGCAGTAAAGCTATACGTAAAAAAATTGAGAACATCCAATAGGCCAAAAGTAACAACAGCATCAGGGACAAATAAATATGTTTGAGAATTTCAGGTCAGACACTTTAAATATTCAACTACAAGTCTCACTTTTCTACATCAATGGGACTTACCGTATATACCTGAGTATAAGCTGGGTTTTTCAGCCCTTGCATATAAGCCCCCCTCAGCTTATACTCAAGTCAAAGTTATTTATTATTTCGCTCTATTGTTGTTGTTATTACATTTATTATTTTGCTCTATTTATTATTATTATTATTATTACATTTACATTATTTTACTCTTTATTATTACATTTATTATTTTACTCTTATTATTTACTCTTATTTATTATTTTTCCATTTTTATTATTACACTATTTTATTCTATTATTACTTTATTATTACACTTCCATTACGTTACTCTATTATTATTTTATTACATTTATTATTTCACTCTCCTTATTATTATTGGAAGGATACGTCAGCACATTTACATAGAAGGTTAGAATAATGGCTTAATAGAGTTGGACAGCCTTATCTTAAATTACAGTTTTATGTAAATACTAGCTGTCCCCTGCCATGCGTTGCTGTAGCCCAGTCTGTATATATTTATTTGTGTATGTATATATATATATATATATATGTGTGTTTATAGGTGTGTATATATTTGTGTATCTGTGTATATATGTGTGTTTGCATATATATGTGTGCATGTGCATAAGGGTGTGTGTAGATGTGTATATATGTGTGTATATATTTGTGTGTTTATATGTGTATATGTGTGTGCTTGTCTATATGCATATTTGTGTTTATATAATGTGTGCATGTATGTGTGCATGTATATATGTATATATGTGTGTGTATGCAGATGTACGTGTGTGTATATTTGTGTGTGCTTTGGTATATATATACGTATGTGTATGTATGTATGTGTGCATGTGTTTATGTATGAGTGTGTATACATATATGGTGCGTTTTTGGGGGTTTTAAGTCTGTTCTGCTGGGGGGGTTGTATTTTTAGATTTTAGAGGTGATGAACACTCGTTGGACTGTTAGGTGTATTGCGTCAAAAATTTGTGTTAATTTGTCCAGTGGTTCCTGAGTTATGTTAATCCCACAAATGAACATTACATTTTTATTTATATAGATTCAAAAACATTTTAACCTACTGATGCCTCAATTAATGTCATTTTATTGGTATCTTATTTTTTATTTTGAAATTGATGAGTAGTTGCTGCATTTCCCACCCTTGGCTTATACATGAGTCAATACGTTTTCCCAGTTTTTTGTGGTAAAATTAGGTGCCTCGGCTTATATTTAGGTTGGCTTATACTTGAGTATATATGGTACTTAAGTGTTAATTTATCACTCAGTAACTGATTCGATAGGTCCACTCTAGTTTGTCTTTGACGACAACAAAGTTAAACGTCTCTCCCTTCGTAAATTAAAACCCTCGGCTCCATGAATATTTATGTTAATTATATATAACTGTGACTTTAAAAAAGAATGATGTAAACAAGTGGTGTTTTGGCCTACAACTCCCAGAAATCCCAGCCAGTTTACCAGCTGTTAGGATTTCTGGGAGTTGAGGGCCAAAACATCTGGGGATCCAGAGGTTGAAAGCCACTGATGTAAACCATTTTGAGATGATCACTGAAGAACACTTATCAAAATAACACTATTTCCCCTCTAAATGAATAGAAACAAACTTCTGGGTCCTTTCTGAAGCATGTCTATCAAGAACCAGCAAGGCTCACCTCCATTTCTGCTGCTCGAAGCTGTCCAAAGAAAACCTTGCCCATGAATTTTCCCAACAAGAATACCAGAACAAAAGCTTGAATGTATAATACCTGGTTGAAAAAGGAAAGAAATGACAATGAGTTCAGAAATTTATCCTCTTTGTTTTGCCTTTGTTTCTGCCCAACACTGGAACGTGGCCATTAAAAATGTGTTTGAAACTGAATTTAGCCATTGGTCGAACAGATGATCCTCCACCTTATGATACTAGATACCAGTATTTAAAAAAACTCTAAAATCGGGAGAGTAAATAAAGAGCAACACTCAAAAATGGGGGAATTCCAGACAAGAAACAATTAGGGCCAGCTAACACCTCCCAACAAAGGATTCCCCCAGGCAGAAAGCAACAAGGTTTTGAAGCTGAAAGGCTAATCAATGCTAATCAATTTATTTATATTTTATTTTATTACATACACTAGCTGTCCCCTGCCACACGTTGCTGTGGCCCAGTCTGTGTTTATGTGTTTTGTGTGTGCATATATGTGTATGTGTGTGTATATATTTATGGATATGTGTATATATGTGGTTTTGCGCATGCGTTGCAATGTATTTTTTAATTTTGGCTGTGTTTTTCAGTGTTTTTATGAGTGATGGTCACTGGTTGGCTTGATAGGTGTATTGTGTCCAAATTTGGTGTCAATTTGTTCAGTGGTTTTTGAGTTATATTAATCCCACAAACGAACATTACATTTTTCTTTATATAGATTTCTATCCCGCCCTTCTCCCCACAAGGGGACTCAGGGCAGCCTTACATAAGCATCTGATGATGCTATCAACATATGCACCAATAAAATTACAATTACAATCTATATAAATAAAAATGTAATGTTCGTTCAAAAACCACTGAACAAATTGACACCAAATTTGAACAAAATACACCTATCAGGCCAACGAATGTCCATCACTCATAAAAACATTGAAAAACACAGCAGAAAAAACTTTAAAAGCCAAAAAAACACCCCAAAAAATATCACAATGCATGCGCAAAACCACAAACACACATACACAAATATATACATACACATATATGCATATATACACACACAGAACACATATACACAGAAAGGGGGAAGTAAGGAAGGAAGGAAGGAAGGAAGGAAGGAAGGAAGGAAGGAAGGAAGGAAGGAAGGAGAGAAGGAGGGATAGAAAGGGAAAGGAGGGAAGGAGAGAAGGAAAGAAAGGTTGTGAAGGAAGGAAGGAGAGAAGGAAAAAGTGAAAGAAGGAAGGAGAGGGGGAAGGAAGGATGGATGGAACCAATGAACAAAGGAAGGGAGGAAAGAAACTGGTAGAGAAGAAAGAAAGAAAAAGGGAAAGAAGAAGGAAAAGAAAAAGAGGGAAGGAAGGAAAGAGGGAGGGAAGGAAGGAGAGAAAGAAAGGAAAGAAAGAGGGAGGGAAGGTTTGGCCAGTCACTCATAAAAACACAGCAAAAGAGACTTAAAAAGCCAAAAAAAAAAAAAACCATTACAACGCAAATGCATAACCACATAAATACACATATACACAAATATATAAATACACACATATATACACACACACAAAACACATATACACACAGACTGGGCCACAGCAACGCGTGGCAGGGGACGGCTAGTTAAAACAATAAAATCCATTTAAAACATTGTACAGATTCAACAAATAAATTCAGTAACAATAAATGAACGTTTCAATTGCAACATTCACATTTGCCATCAACAGACAAGAGTTCTTTCTCCCACCCTGGACATTATTCCACAGGTATATAAACCCAATTTCCCTAGTTTCCAACAGACCTCACAACCTCTGAGGATGCCTGCCATAGATGTGGGCGAAACATCAGGAGAGAATGCTTCTGGAACATGGCCATACAGCCCGGAAAACTCATAGCAATCTAGATTTTTTGGCCATGAAAGCCTTCGACAACATATACCGCACCTTTGTTCTCCAATGCTGTATTATCAATCAGTTGGGAGTCCCCGTCCCCCCCCCCCTGCCTTCCAGCACCAACCGCTGGTCTGAGATCAGAGTGAAGAGAGGGGTCAGGAAGGCAGTTCCATCTTGACTCTTGCACTGTGCTTATAATATAATATAATGTAATATAATATATTGTATATACATATAATATTAATAATATTATAATGTAACGCAATACACTACTAATAATAATATATTATAATTATATTATAATATATTATTAGTAGTAGCGTATTGCATTACATTATAATATTATTAGTAATGTAATATTACTAATAATATTACAGTATAACATTATAATACAATTTAATATATAATATTAATATTATATAATAATATATTGTATTTACTTTTTACTTGTAAGCTGCTCTGAGTCTCCTTAGGGGTGAGAAGGGCGGCATATAAATGTCGTAAATAAATAAATAAATGAGTTATTATTATCTTGGATTGATTAATGCCGCTAGTATAGACAATTTGAGATTCTCACAAATCAGAAATGATATAATAATATTTTTAGTAACATGTTATCACAATTCTGGTTGTCCCATTCTTCCTTCAAATAACATACCGCCATGCTGGGGCTGGACTTGGTCAGGTACACAACGGTGGGATAAAACTGGTGCTTGAGATAATAGGCATGAGCCACCACAGCGGAAGTCAGGGCCAGGCTGGCAGCCATCATGATGGCTGTTCGTAACATCTCCCTGGTCCCACGTCCAGCAGCCTGAAAGAAAAGGGAGAAAAAAACCATTGAAGTGTGTGAAGTCTTGTAGGAAAAAAAAATGTTATGAACCACTCAATTTGCATTGTAATGGTCTGCTGCACCCACACTGGTGCTCATCTACATTTCTAAGCCAAAGAGTGGGTGTTGTCCAGAGACGTCTCCAAGGTCATGTGGCTGCCATGACTGCATGGAGTACCATTACCTTCCTGCCAAAGCAGTACCTATTGATCTACTCATATTTGCTTGCATGTTTTCGAACTGCTAGGTTGGCAGTAGCTGGACCTAACTGTGGAAGCTCACTCAGCTCCCCGGATTCGAACTGCCGACCTTTCGGTCAGCAAGTTCAGCAGCTCAGCAGTTTAACCTGCTGCATCACTGGGGACTCTTTGATTGAAAGTGAACTATAAATCCCAGAAACTACAACTCCCAAATGTCAAGGTCTATGTTCCCCAAACTCCACCAGTGTTCACATTTGGGCATGCTGAGTATTTGTGCCAAGTGTGGTCCAGATCTATCACTGTTTGAGTTCACAGTGCTCTCTTGGTTGAGGTGAACTACAACTCCAAAACTCAATGTCGATGCCCACCAAACCCTTCCAGTATTTTCTGTCCGTCATGGGAGTTCTGTGTGGCAAGTTTGGTTCAATTCCATCGTTGGTGGAGTTCAGAATGCTCTTTGATTGTAGGTGAACTATAAATCCCAGCAACTACAACTCCCAAATGTCAAGGTCTATGTTCCCCAAACTCCACCAGCGTTTACATTTGGGCATACTGAGTATTTATGCTGAGTGTGGTCCAGATCTATCATTGTTTGAGTCCACAGTGCTCTCTGGATGTAGGTGAACTACAACTCCCAAACTCAAGGTCAATGCCCACCAAACCCTTCCAGTATTTTCTGTCTATCATGGGAGTTCGGTTCAATTCCATTGTCAGCGGAGTTCAGAATGCTCTTTGATTGCAGGTGAACTATAAATCTCAGCAAGATGGGGGCCTTTCAACAGAAAGGAGGAAACCATGAAAATGAACAAAATCTGGCTACCAGTATTAAAAAAACTCTAAAATTAGAACAGCACAACAGCAGAGAGGAAACAAACAAGGACATCTAATCACCCCTCAACAAAAGATTGCTCCAGGCACTGCCAGGCCATCAAATGCTAATCAAGGTGGTCAGTTGAAACATTCACACCTAGCTCCAGCAGATTATTTATTTATTTATTTATTTATTTGCTATACTTGTATACCGCCGTTTCTCAGCCTAGCCGGCGACTCAACGCGGTTTACAACAACTTATAACAAACAACAGTATACAGTTTAAAAGCATAAAAACACGATCCACAATACATATATCAATAAACAATCCAATTCATCTCTTGACTAAAATCGCGATCCAGTTTCGTCGTCCAATTAAAAAGGCCATTTCATGTGCAAGAGTCCTTTGTCCCACCCTGGTCATTCCACAGATATATAAACCCTTTTTCCTATTTCCAACAGACCTCACTCCCTCTGAGGATGCTTGCCATAGATGCAGGCGAAACGTCAGGAGAGAATGCCTCTAGAACATGGCCATATAGCCCCAAAAAACCTACAACAACCCAGTGATTCCGGCCATGAAAGCCTTCGACAATACAATAAAGAAATTACATATATTAGAAACCAACACTTTCTCATTATTTTATTTTCCAGATTACCAGACTGGGCCACAGCAACGCGTGGCAGGGGACGGCTAGTAAATAAATAAATAAAACTCCTGGTCAGTCGCAAGGCCGAACAGGGCATAGGGTTACAGCCTGTGTTGGATGGGGCCGCACTCCCCCTGAAGACGCAGGTTCGCAGCTTGGGTGTGATCCTGGATTCATCGCTGAGCCTGGAACCCCAGGTTTCGGCGGTGACCAGGGGAGCATTTGCACAGCTAAAGCTTGTGCGCCAGCTGCGCCCGTACCTTGGGAAGTCTGACTTGGCCACGGTAGTCCACGCTCTGGTTACATCCCGTTTAGACTACTGCAACGCTCTCTACGTTGGGTTGCCTTTGAAGACAGCTCGGAAGCTCCAACTAGTCCAACGCTCGGCAGCCATGATTCTAACAGGAGCGGGACGCAGGGAGCATACAACCCCCCTGTTGCGCCAACTCCACTGGCTACCGATCTGCTACCGGGCTGAATTCAAAGTGCTGGCGTTGGCCTTTAAAGCCCTAAACGGTTCCGGCCCAGGCTACCTATCTGACCGCATCTCTGCCTATGAACCCACCAGGACTTTGAGATCTTCCGGGGAGACCCTGCTCTCGATCCCGCCTGCTTCTCAAGCTCGGCTGGCGGGGACGAGAGATAGGGCCTTCTCGGTGGTGGCTCCTCGGCTGTGGAACGCCCTTCCTACGGACATTAGACTAGCACCATCTCTAATGGTATTCCGCAAAAAGGTGAAGACCTGGATGTTTGTGCAGGCGTTTGAGTAATTTAGTGCAATCTGGTAATGGAACATAGGAATGGAACAATGGACGACGAACCTGGACTACGCTTGGATGATGAGAAGATTGGGTACAGTTGTTTTTTCATAATAATTGTGCATTGTAATTGCTTATTGGTAATTTATGGATAATGTGTTAAGTCAATTGTTATATGTTGTATGGAACCACTGCTGTTTCTACTGTTTTTACTGTTTGTGAACCGCTGTGAGTCGCCTTCGGGCTTGAGATACAGCGGTATATAAGCAAAGTAAATAAATAAATAAATAAAATCTCTCAAGGAAAAGCAATAAAACTAGAAACATTTTGTGAAAAGATATCTTGTTTTAAAATTATTTATTTATTTATTTACTGCGCTTATATACCGCAATTCTCAGCCCCCAAGGGCGACTCATTGCGGTGTACAGCATGAAAAAATAAGTGCAATCTACAAAGCATAGTACAAAACAGTGTACAATTCTCATAATCATAAAAACATCTTAACAAATTTATTACTACATTCCGAATCGTCTCATCGTCAAGCCACAATCCGATCTCATTTCCGGTGTTCCATTCCTATGGTCAATTGCCAGTCATTGCACTATTGATCAAATGCCTTCTTAAATAGCCAGGTCTTTAGCTTCCTGCGGAATATTAGCAGGGAGGGGGCTAGCCTGATGTCCACGGGAAGGGTGTTCCACAGCCGAGGAGCCACCACCGAGAAGGCCCTATCTCTCGTCCCCACCAGCCGTGCCTGTGAGGCAGGTGGAATCGAGAGCAGGGCCTCCCCGGAAGATCTCAAAGTCCTCGTGGGCTCATAGGCCGAGAGGCGGTCAGTTAGGTATTTTGGGCCGGAACCGTTTAGGGCTTTATAGGCCAATGCCAGCACCTTGAATTGAGCCCGGTAGCAGATCGGCAGCCAGTGGAGCTGGTACAGCAGGGGGGTTGTATGCTCCCTATGTCCCGCTCCTGTTAGTGTCATGGCTGCCGCACGTTGGACCAGTTGGAGCTTCCGGGCCGTCTTCAAAGGCAACCCCACGTAGAGAGCGTTGCAGTAGTCTAAGCGGGATGTAACCAGAGCGTGGACTACCGTGGCCAAGTCAGACTTCCCGAGGTACGGGCGCAGCTGGCGCACGAGCCTAAGCTGTGCGAATGCTCCCCTGGTCACCGCCGAGACCTGGGGCTCCAGGCTCAGCGATGAATCCAGGATCACACCCAAGCTGCGAACCTGCGCCTTCAAGGGGAGTGCGACCCCATCCAGCACAGGCTGTAACCCTATACCCTGTTTGGCCTTGCGACTGACCAATTAGTAGCTTGGGGGTCTTTCAATATGTCTCCTCGGTCAGTGATTTCTGAACACATTCTGGAACTGAACTCTCTGACACATGAATGAAGCAGAGTGAAGATTGGTGCACCTGTTGATCTACAAGACCAGTTCCGCTTCGATTAACCACAGAGAAAAACATTACTATTTTTACAGTTACAGTAATGTGATGTCTCATATAGGCTCCGGTGAGGAAGGCCGGAATGCAGATCACGTAAATAAGAAATACCAACACAATGCAGAACACTCAAATACGCAATATCTCCCTGTCAGCTCTGCTCTCCCACCACAGATCTACGATTTCACAAGTACTGCCCACACGTTTTCAAGCTTCTTCTTAAAGCCAGGAGGGATAGAAATCTGGTTCTGCAAAGAAAATCATAACTGTGTGCCTTCTGGCACAATTCTAAACAGGGGACACAAACATCCTAAGAGGAAGAAACAGAGGAATGTGGCAGCTCTGTGATATAACTATAGTTAAATTCCAGGGCCAAGGGCAATATGTAATACTTCTTCAGAGGTTTGGTAACAAGAACTCTTGCATATCTACGTGTTCTTTTTTCATATTTATTAGAGCAGTGTTTCTCAACCTGGGGGTCGGGACCCCTGTCAGAAGGGTCGCCAACAGCCATCAGAAAACACAGTCTTTTCTGTTGGTCATGGGGTTTTTGTGTGGGAAGTTTGGCCCAATTCTATCACTGGTGGGGTTCAGAATGCTCTTTGATTGCAGGTGAACTATAAATCCCAGAAACTACAACCAGGGGTGGCTCAACCCATTACGCAAAGTAAGTATTTGCAGTATAGCTGATTTTGCCCAAGAGTGCTCTTGAGGTGCTCTTGGGGGAAAATAGACCTTGACACGTGCGAGTTGTAGTTACTGGGATGTATAGTTCACCTACAATTAAAGAGCATTCTGAACTCCACGCAACAAGAATAGGGCTCCACAGTCACATAGAATCATAGAATCAAAGTTGGAAGAGACCTCATGGGCCATCCAGTCCAACCCCCTGCCAAGAAGCAGGAATATTGCATTCAAATCACCCCTGACAGATGGCCATCCAGCCTCTGTTTAAAAGCTTCCAAAGAAGGAGCCTCCACCACACTCCGGGGCGGAGAGTTCCACTGCTGAACGGCTTGAACCAAATATGGCACACAGAACTCCCACGATGAACAGAAATATATATCAGTGATTGGTGGGGGGGGGGCAAAATACTGTTTGCTTACAATTGAAAATTATCTA